CTCCCTCCCTCCCCCCTCTCTCTCTCTCTTTTTGTTCTCTCCCTCTCTCTCTCATATGTCTCTTTCTAACTCTATTGTTTGGGGAGGGGGGAGGGAGGTGGTGTTTGTATGCTATGTGTGTCTATTTTTTTCTGTTCCTCATTCTAGCTCTGTGTCACTGTATTGTACCTGTCTCTGTTTCTGTCACTCTCCCCCTCTCTCGCTCTCCCTCTCTTGCCCCCCCCTCTCTCTCTCCATTTTTCTTTCTCTTTTTCCCTCTCCCGACCCCCTTCTCTCTTTCTCTCCAGTTCCAGTTCTAAACCAAATATTTAGATCGTAAATACTAGAAAACCGTCAAGCTGATTCGAACTTCTCTCACCACAGTGCGAGGTTTAATTCAATATTTTTCTGTTTTGGAGCCATAATATTAATACTAATGTGAGGCAGCGTGGTGGAATCAGGCTCTTGTCAATTTTTGGGCACATAGAGTTGTTGGTACCATCTTAAAACGTGTTCACTTGTCTTTATTTGGATGAAAAAAATATCCATTTATCTTGAATACAAGTCGAGATATCTGAGAATGAAGGAGGTGGGAGTCACCTCTTTTCAGAGGTAAAATTAGTGAGAAAATGTCTGAAAAGGATTATTTATTTCCTTAACTTAAGAGTCTGTGGCAATTGAAAATGTACATTTATTTTACCTTTAATCAACGTTTTTCAGAAAAACCCACACAGAAATGAGTTTTTTAATGGGCCTGAAAGGTGTAGCACCCAAAAACAACAATTTGATAAAAATTCACAAACATGCGCAAAAATGCAAGTTTCTTCACTTTGATTATTTTGACGAGAGCCTGATTCCACTTGGCTGCCTCACAAATGTTTTGTTTTTTTTAGGGGGCAGAGGGTGCTGGTATTTCTTCCGTTGTTTTTTTCTTTTTTTAACAAGAAATGAGAACAACGTGAAAACTTCGTGTTGATTTGACCCGAAATGTTTTCGTACTGACACGACCCGGTACCAATTTCCCAAATTTCAGCCGTCCCGTTTCTCATCTTCTGTAAAGGAATATATATCGAAATGACTTAAGACCTTATTCCACAGCAGAAGCAAATTATTATGTAGATACACACCCTCGAGACATTTTCCTGGGTGTCTCCACAGACGCAACAAGCCAATAAATTAGTGTTTGCTCGGGGCATAAGGCAGCACAAGATGGGATGGTCGAGGGAACGAGGAAATGAAAGGAAGAGGATGGTGGGGACAACTATTTTAACGAAAAATGGAAAAGCTGGAAATAGATCGTGGGAAGTTCATAATTCAACAAGGTTGAGGAAAGTTTATGGGGGATAAAAAAGGGGGGTGGGCAGAAGAAGGAAGAGAGAACATTACAGAAAAAGAAACACTAATAAAATACAATGAATTTTTTAAATTTAA